TGGTGCACACCCATAATCCCAACTCCTTGGGAGGCTGAGGCAAGAGAATGGCTTGCATCAGGGATGTGGAGGTTGCAGTTAATGGAGATCCTCCCACTGCACCCTAGCCTGGGTGACAGAGCAAGACTCTGTCTCAAAAACAAATAAATAAATAACAATAAACTAAATGTCTGGTAATGCATGAATACTTGAGAACATTTTTGATAGTCACATGGGATGTGAAAATGTATAAGAATTAAAAATTAGATTTATAAGACATTCATTAAAAAATTGCCAATGGTAACTGCAAAAAGAAAGATACAAAATTAAATATGTAGTAAAATCTTACATTTGAAAGAGAGGCAAAGCTTTCTTAATTTAGGAAGAAATAAAGTATGGATCATGGAGTTCCCATACTCATTGGAATTTTGGTGCTACCATTGATGAGATTTAATACTATTATTATTACTGTTACTTGACACAGGACCTTGCTCTGTCACCCAGGCTGGAGAGCGTGATCATAGCTCATTGCATTCTTAACCTTGCAGGGTGAAGTGATTCTCCCCCTTCAGCCCCTGAAGTACCTGGGACTAAAGGTATGTGCCACCACGCCCAGCTAATTTTGTAACTTTTGTAGAGATGTAATCTCACCATTTTGCCCATGCTAATCTCAAACTGCTGGACCCAAGCAATTCTTTCACCTTTGCCTCCCAAATTGCTGGGAAAATGGGCATGAGCCATAGTGTCTAGTGAGATTTATTATTCTGAATCAGGTTATTTAACTTTCCTAAGACAGTTTTTTCACATAAAGTGTGAATAACTGTCTTGCCAGATGGTTCTGAAGATTAGCAGAAAAAGCAAATCAAATGTGGCACACAGTAGTCCATTAGTAAATAGTGCTCATTTTGTTTATTATCTTTTTTTTTTTTTTTGAGATGGGATTTCACCATGTTGGTTAGGCTGGCCTTGAACTCCCAACCTCAGGTGATCTGCCCTCCTTGGCCTCCAAAGTGCTTGGATTACAGGCGTGAGCCACCATGCCTGGCCTGTTTATTATCTTGTTATTTGATATCTGGTTGAAAAACATCCGAAGGTTTTTGCCAACCCAAAATTCATACCTTGAAACCTAATCCCCAATGTGTTAGCATTAATAGGGGAGGACATGAGGAAGTAAGCAGGTCATGAAGGTGGAGCCCTCATTAATCAGATTAGTGCCCTTATAAAGCAGCCCAAGGAACTTTGTTGGGCCCTTCCATCATCTGAGATGCAGTGAGATGACATTTGTGAGGAAGAGGTCCACATCAGACATGAAATCTGCCAATGCCTTGACCTTGGATTTCCCAGGCTCCAGAACTGTGAGAAATAAATGCTTTTTGTTTATAAGCCACACAGTTTATGATATTTTGTCATAGCAGCCCAAATGGACAAAGATATAACTAGAAGAAAAATATGAAAATGTCTGTTTCCTTTGGAGCTGGAAAAAGGGTATAAACTTTTTTTGGTGCCATTTTTTTTTTTGTATTTTATAACATCTATAGTGAGAAAATGTTACTTTATAAGATAAAATAAATTTTAAAGCATTCCTTGTTAGTAAAACCACAGCTTTGAATGCACACTTATGGTGTCCTGCACTGAACCTATAAGGAGTGGTGTTAGATGGTAAGGTGCGTACATAGAAAGGATAAATCTCACAGCTGTGTCATCTGACTGATACTACCACTGTGTCTTAGTACATGTTGTGCTTCTATAGCAGAATACCACAGATGGGATAATTTATAATAAACAGAAATTCATTTGGCTCATGGCTCTGGAGGCTGGGGAGTCCAGGATTGAGGGCCTGTATTTAGTAAGAGCCTTCTTGCTATGTCATAACACAGCAGAGGGCACACATGGGCATCACATGAGCAGGAGAAAGGATTACATTTCCAACACATAACCCTAGGAGTCACATTCAAACCACAGCAACCTGGATTTTCTTGAGATGAACCATATTGCTCTTCTTTAGAGTTGTGATTCATAGTTTTACTGGCATTTTTCAAGCAAGTTGATAGGATATAGAAAAGTATGATGTGAAAGACCATTATGAATTATTTAAATGTGAGAAAATATATTTAAAATATTTCATAAAAATATTACCTAAATTTCTACAAAAGGAGGCTGGTAAAATGATAATTGCAGCAACTTTTAGTGTTTTAAATTTAATTTACTTATGTTCACTAAACACTATGCATGAGGCACTATTCTAAGAACTTCTCATGTATTAACTCATGTTTAAATGTTTGCATTAAATAGTGATTAAACTCAACGTTTACCAGATCCTATGATGTAGATACATTATCTTCTGTTTACAGATGAAAATACAGGTACAGAGAGGTTAAATAACTTGCCAATAATATCCAATAAACATAAATAGTTGAGACTCATGTAACTGAAATAAAGCTGTGCTAATGATGAAGGGTACGTAATACAATTAATAAATATAGGTTTAGGATATGAACCCAGGCCATGCCCTTAACTCTAAGCTTGGCTCTCTCATGCTGTAATTTTTTTAATTTATTTTTAAAATACTCACTATTGCTCCCTCATGTTGCATATGTTTAAGCTGTGGTTTGCTTCTTCCTAGTCCCATCTAACAACCACATGAAAAACAAAAGAGATCTAAAATAGATCTCTAAAATATTCTGCTTGAATGTCCAATGACCAATTTAGAACTTTGTGTGAAAAATGAATGCTTACTTATAAGAAAACAGGTGCTAAAACTTTTATTAATTTCCTATGTGGAGGATAACTTCAAATAGTATTTGTAACCTTTATTTCTTTAATTTGTGAAAGATATACTTCAATTTTATAGCACTGAATGTCATGTATTTTTTAAATTAATTATTTTTTCGTGAATATCATGTTATTATTCACCAGAAAATGGGCCATTATTATGGTACTTTTGTTAATGCTGAGCCTTTGTCATCATTTTCATTTTAATTCTATCCTTGGTAATAAAATAGTTGATATGTTCCTGCATCTTTTTTCCCGAGCAGTGAAAGTGTTACTTCACTGAAGCAGATAAACAGGACAGATAATGATTATTATATGCACAGTGATCCTTATAATGGGGAAAAGTAAAATGTTCTCTGATCACTCTCGAAATTGGAAACTGACTGAATTTCATTTAGAAAACAGCAAGTTTTTTTCATAGGTGATATTCTCTAAATGTATTTAAAGACTAGAATATTTGCCCTGAATCCCAGAAAAATGTGTTAAATTAGATCCACATAGTAAATTCTTGCTTATTTTATGTAACGTAGAAAAATTATATATAAATCATATTTTGAGTTAAGTAAAGATGTCAAGAATGCCTCCCCCCATCAAAGATGGCAATGAATTTCTCATTTCTTTTCTATATACACATAAATGTCAGGAAAGCTTGAGCGTATCGTGGTTCTTCCTCTTCTATGAATTTACTAAGGTCATGCCAATGTAGGCAAATTAGACAGTGCAGTTAGTAAGTGAAAGACACTGACCCTATTTTGGGTGGGGGAAAACAATGAAATACATAGATCAAGGCCATTTTTCATTATCTAGTTCACTTAAATTTATCTAAACAGTGAAATTATAATTTATATAAAATGCAAAACAATCTGAGGGACAAAAATATGGTTGTATAAATAATTTTACACTTGAAATAATCAAAACCATTCTTATAAGTGCTTGTCATCTACAGCATTTGCTTATGACTAGGTATTCCTTTGCTGAAGGAAGTTCTAGAGAAGAGTATCTTTTTCATTATACTAGTGGCACATTGCTGGTCAGAATTGTAACTTCTTGCCTTATTTAAATTTAGTTAAATTCAATATATCTACTGAATCCTTATTAAATGCAAAAATGATTAATCTATATACTTTCTTTCTATAATGTCCTCATGCTTTTTAGCTTATAGAGTGAAAGAAGTCAAGAGTGGAAGAAAATAATTAAAGTTACTGCTCACAAAGTCCAGTATGTATAGAAACTCCCATGTAGCAAAGAAGGATCAATTACATATAAAAATAGAAATTGAGAAATTGAAAGTGTCTGGGAAAAGAATTAGATTCAATCAGACTGTCAGAGAAGGGCACAGAAAATTATGCAGAAGAGATTTTGGTAGAAGAAATAGTATAAAGGGAGAATGAAGGCCATGTACTGAAGAAAGACAAAGAATAGCCATGTGATATTGTCAACCGCAGAGGTAATTGTTTTAGTCATGTTTAAAACATATTATAATATAAATTTTGAAAAATAAGGCTCGATGTGTAGAACAAATGTCATGAAATGCCAATGAGTTAGAAGATCTGCTTATTCCACACTGAAAGAGAAGGAGAAAACGTAAGAGAGAGCTTGTCATCTCAGAATCATAAATCTGAAATGAAAATACGCTAATGAAGGGAACACTGCCTGCATTCAAATGAGATTTCCATGGGTTACATCACATATAATGGCAAAAGTATAAAAGGATGATCTGATGTTACACCAAATGGTCATGGTATCCCAAGGGGGAAAAAGTGAGACTTGGGATAGGAACATTTGGCGAAGATTGAGTAGAGGAAATATAATCACAAAACCAAGATAGAGTTCACTGTTGAACCAAAAGGTGGAAGACATGGGTGGAGGTAGCACATGTGTTCCTGTGAACTCACTTCTCTTAAAATAGAGGAACTCAAGCAAATGGTTCACACTTTCTCATGTACCACCCCCCCTCCTCTCAATATGCTACATGGTAATAATCTAGAAATTAGAGAGCTTAGTTTAAAATAAATATATAGGAGGATCTTAATTCCCAGATGCCCCTAAATATTTCTATATAAGGAAAATAAAAAAGGAAAGAGAATAAAATCTAAACAAGTTAAAATAAAGGCTAAAACCACTTCCCTCATAGAGTATGCTTAAGATATCAATAACTTTCAACTTATAGAAGTTGTTTTATAGTTCAAATAATATATGATTAAGATGACAACACTAAGTGGTTAATCCTTAAGTAAACACGCACTTACCCTGTGGCTGGCGACTGGGATGGTATATCTGAAGGTCAAATGGCTGTGCACTGGTTTTCTGAATCACACTGACATTCTGCCCTGTCCACTTATTGGCTTTGGACAATGTGTTGGTCCTCCAGTCTGTCCAGTAGACATCACTCCCATATAGAGACACAGCAAAGGGATGGGAAAGGTATTCATGACCTCGGATGATTTCTATCATGTTTGTTCCATCATAGAGGGCTGAATAAATAGCATCTGACCTACAGAAAGGCAAATACATGAGTAATTTGTCAAAACTCATTCAACCAATGCAGTGACATAATCAATAACTCAGTTAAATGACAGAGGAGGTATTTTATAAATATTTTTATGGGCCTGTATCTGATTTGTGGAAAGAAAAAAAAAAATCCACCCCAGAATTTTAATATATATATACATGATACTGACATGTTAGGAACTTTCCAATGTTGTAAATATTATCTGAGGAAAGTGAAAGAAAATCCAGAAAAAAGATAATTTTTAAAACCTGGCATCTGTCCAAACTATCCTTTTCTCAAAGTGGTCCACAGTTAGTCCATTAGGCCAAGCCCCAGTTTTCATGTCTTTGTAGATGGTTTTTCTCCCAGCACCACTCATAGAAGCAGATTCAATGCGAGGAAAATTTGCATCCCAGTCTGTCCAGAAAAGAATTCTAAAAAAAAAGAAAGAAAGAATGCTATTGTTTAAGTCATTAATTTCACAGATATTTATTGTGTGCCTACTCTGTGCTAGGTGCTGGATAGGTGATAATTCACAAGAGAAACAGCTGTATTATCTACCCCCATGGGGCTTATGGTCCAGTGGAGGAGACAGACTAAATAAGTACGTAAATATATAACTAGTGAAATATTTTGAAAAAAAAAAAATTGCTATGAGACAGAATAGCAGGTGACTCACCTACTTAGAGAAGGTAATCAGAAAAAAGCACTTTGAGGAGTGATATTTATAATAAAACTGAACAACGAGATGAGCAGTATAATGAGCACGGCAAGTAGAATAAATAACATATGCTAGGGCCTTAATAGGGAAAATATTGTGGGCTATTTGAGGAACAGAAATAAGGTCAATGTATCAGAAGTATAGTGAGTGAGGAAGAAAGGGGAGGAATATGAAGTCAAAGAGGGTAACCTTATGGGTCTTGTAGGGTAAGATCATTATTTTGGATTTTATTTTAAGGGAATAAGAAGCACATAGGCCATTGGAGGACTTTAAGTAGAGGAGAAATGTTATTCTGTTACATAGTAAATTTATACAGCCACAGTGACAGTGACAGGAACAGACTCATTCCTAGGCAGTCAGAGATGGGTTCCTGGTGAAAACTCGACCTTCAATCCAAAGGCAGTCTAAGGCCTGAAAACCAGATAGAGTCCATGAACCATGGTGAGAACTTATATCCAAGTCTTACCCACTCTCTCCTTAATTGGTTATTTCTGAATGATGCCTTTAACCAATTGAATGATTTCGTTTCCAAGCCCATCTGTAAACCTATCAGCAAGCATTCACCCATTTGAAGCCCATAAAAACCCCAGACTCAGCCTCAAAAGACCCACTTTTGAGTCCTCTCTCATTGAGAGCTTTTCTTTCACTCAATAAATTTTACTCTGCATAATCTCTCTCCAGTATCCATGTGCCTTATTCATTTTGGTCATGGAACAAGAACCTGGAGTTTGCTGAACTGTGGGACTGAAAGAGCTGTAACACTTCCTGTTTGCAGAGCTGCAGGTGGCAGGAGGAAAAGAGCTGTAATACTCCTGCCTGCTGAAATAGGGGAATAAAAAAGCCACAACGATAGTGAAGAGATGGTATATCTGCATGAACATGGGTTATACTGTACCAGATAATACAGATACACTGTCTAATCACTGTGGCACAGTGATTATTATGCAGAGAATAGACAATAGTGGGGCAATGGTATGAGCATGTAAAGTGATTATATAAAGATGATAGTAGCCTAGAGTATGGTGGTAGCAGTAAAGGAGAGAAGTGAATTGATTCAAGATGTAATTTGAAGGTAGAATTGTCAGGACTAGCTGATGGACTCAGTGTAAGAAATGAAGGTAAAAACAGAATTACAGGAGACTGTCAGTTTCTTGTTTCAGCAATCTCAGATTGAGGGAAGGAGAGGGCATATAAGGATTTCATTAAGTGAAAGGGAAAAATGGAAGAGGAACAGAATTCACAAGCTTAAGTATTGATGGGTGTGGACAGTATCGGGGCTCAGAGAATAATATGCCAAAGTATGGTGCTTTGGCATGCTGAGCACTTTTGATTCCTTTTCCAAGCCCACCCAACAACCAATCAGCAAGCATTGGTGCCTTTGGCATGCTGAGCACTTTTGGAAATTGCAAGTTCATAGAAGCTTTCAAGAACATTCTAACCTTTTCTTCTTTCTCTCTTTCTTACCCCAAACACAAGGGAGGAACTCTCTCCCTGGAAGTACCCTTATTTGACTGAAGAAAACTTCTTTCAAAAGAAATGCAATTATCTGAAAACCCCTCCCTTGGAATCCCATTAAAACCAGGAATAATTAAACAACAAAGATGAGAAAAGACTCATCACCACACCCAAACAGATTTTTCATCTATTGTTCTGAAGGAAGCTCAGAGATTTTCTGGGAGGCTTTATTTGCATGATAAGACAATGTTTGTTCACTGTGAAGTTCTGCCCTTTCCCATTCTGGAAACTATAGCCACCCCCGTCAGAGGTCAGAGGAATTTTGTTCCAGGACATTGCCTATTCTTTGGGCTCATTCAACTCCTCTGAAAATTATTTACCACTCCTCAAAATGCCTTACATTCCCCATTTCCCTTGCCCTTATGAAAAGCCTCAACCATCTGGCCTTCTGATTCTCTTACTTTGTATGGCTCCCATGTACCCTTGCACATAAATAATTCTGTATGCCTTTTCTCCTGTTAATTTGTTGCAAGTTTATTTCAGGAGACTTAAACCTTCTGAGAGGGAGGGAAAAATTCCCTTTATTCTTACAGCAGCAATCAAAAAGAGAAAGTAATATTGCAGTACATTTTTCTATCAGGTCTGGCAACATTTTGTTGATAAATGATAAAATCATGAAATGATTAAAAAATGTTCTTCATTTAATTATTTATAGTTTTGTCATTTGTTGACTCATTAATCTGTATAATCCTTGAAAATAGGAATTTGGTAAATTACCTTGTAAAATGACAACGCTTTGGAACAAAATTTAAAATTCAATTAACCCATCTTCCTTTAAAAATAATTATGTCTACTTAAGGAAATGTGAAATGATGTAAACTAAGTATTCACCATGACTTCAATTTTTGAAAATAATATAGTCTCTTATAGGAAACAGGAATTACAAATATGAAAGGATTAGAAGACAGTTCAAAACATTATATTTATAAACAGTAATTACATATGCTAAAAGAGTATGGCAAAAAAGGGAAGGAAGATGAGAGTGGAACTTCCTATATAAGTTAAAAAAACACTGATATTTGGTAAGTGTTATTAGATAACCGCATCAGTGTTAAACAGTGTGGTCATGTATATGCATTTGTGTAAAACAAGCTTGGATCAAAGTTGGAATTTGTCCCTTACTTCTGCCAACTTAATCTCAAACTTTTCTCAACTGAAAATGAAAACTATCATAGTACACATTTGTTGGGGACGTTAGGTGAGATAATGGATGCAAACAATTTACACACAAAATGATTAGCACAGAGAAAATATTTGTGTTTTTACATGCATGCTCACATACATATAGTAGGGAATAAATATTTTTTAAAAGGAAACTTTCAGTCTTGCTAACTGATAAAGAAACAGAGAAAGGGAGAGAGAGAACATACAATGATTTAAACATCAATGATTAAATACTACAATAGCATTTATATGAAAATAGATGAAAAGTAGATTCGTTTTATAAAGTAAATCTGAGTCAAAGCCATGAGAATATGATTCAGGGCAAGAGATCATAGGATTAGATTCATCTCAGATAATTTCTTTCAAACAATGAGTTTTTATTAGTCGTAAATCAAGCCCTTTTTCATTTGATAGTTGGTACTTCTGAAATAGCAGCAATTTATCCTAGCTGAAATAGGATAACAAGATTTTAAAAGAATATTTTGCAAGGTGCTCTTAAAAAAAATCTTCTTTAAAAAAAATAATTTCAGTTTCATGGACATGTGAAAGCAAAATAATTTTAGAGATTTTTTATTTTGACTACTAAAGGGGTTTATTTACATAACAAGGCCAACATTTTGCTATCCAGGCCAAACTGCAAGAGCAATGGCTGACACCCCATGCTGCAGTTTGATAGCAAAGGTTCTGCCTCCCTGTTTTTTTTTGTCCACCATGACAGCCTGGGTTTGGTTCCTAAATTGCTGCTATTTCAGAAGTACCAAGTATCAAATGAGAACAGGCTTCTCATTTGATACTTGGTACTTCTGAAATAACAGCAATTTATCCGAGCTGAAATATGGTAATGAAATTTTAAAAGATTTTTTTTAAGGAGCTCAATGGTTAAAAGTCAGCTTAATTAAAAGCTAACATCCAAGGTGTGTTTGTGTGTGTGTGTATTTAAAAGGCCTTCGTGGTTTTTTTTCCTCTCTCTCCTAGGACCTTGTCTTTAATTTTGACCAAAAGTTTTTTCTCTTCAATTGACTGAATTCTGTTTTCTTCATTTATTTCTGCTGTCTCTCCCTTCTCTCGCACTCTCTGCTGCATGAGGGACCTAAAATAGTTTATAATATCCTAGGGTCCCTTAAAGAAAACAGGGAAGGCACCAGGCTCCCTTTTGGGGAGAACCCTCTGTTTTTCCTTAATGAATCTCAAGAGTGTAAACAGACAAATTCATCTCAGCTCTTAAACTACTTGCTTTTGTATTGTGTCACCTGATTCTTTTTGACTAAAGTAGCTATTGAAACAAAGGCTACTCTTTGTTTTTTAAGGAATTGTATAGTTTAGACACTTAGAGATGTCTATGTTCGAAAAACAAATTTTTTAATGAATTGTAAGAGCATCACATGGTCTAACCTCCTAATAATTTTCCCTTTTTGGAGACTCACGAGTCAGTGTGGGCTCTACCCAGGGCTCAGAGATCCAGTTAAAAGATAGTCTATATTTAAATAAAATTGATCTCCTTATACAATCCTATAACAGATTTCTTAAATTTTATGTTTGATTTGGCATCCATCTTTAATTTTCCTCTAGCACCACCAGATTTTCCTCTCTGTACCCTATGATGTAAATTTTGCTATTTGATTTTCACCTGAGTTGTGTCTTTTAATATGAAAAATGAAGGCTATTTAGCTGACAATTGCCTAGGATTGTGAAACAAGTTATCAACAATCCGAAAGTCTAAGACAAAAAAAAAAAAAAAAAGTTCTTTATGAACGTATAACAGGTATTTCTATCCGCAAGCCTAATGTGTTTATATATTTATGTGTATGTACATAGCGTTTCACTACTAAAAATACATACAAGAGCTATAATTAGTTGCTTTAAGAAAATAAAAGCGCTTGAATTAAATACTTTATCTGAAAAAGACTACACAAATGCTTTTTCAAGTTTACGTAACAAGTAAAATCTTTAATAAATAAGCTAGCTTTAAAATTAATGGTAAAGTAGTTAAAACATTAAGAATACCTTAAGAATTGCTACAATACATTTTTGCTT